TGTGTGTTCTGTTCTGTGCATTGGTAAGGCATTGAGACGAGGCAGAGGAATAACAGACGCTTCTTTATTGACTCTCCAACAGAACCAAAACAAAATGGCGTGGATTCCTTTATATATCCCTTTGCAGGGACAGTGTCAGCCAATCAATGCCACGGATTCTCCTGCCTTGCACGTGCGCAATAGGCTGGAGACAGCCTGTCTGGTCCTGGGCAACCATGTAGTCTGCCCGGGTCTCTTTTAACTTCCTGCACCTGCTAAGTCACTCAGCAGGCCCAGGACATAACAATGAGTGTCCTGGATAATTGAGGAACCATCTCACTCCAATGGAACTGGCCTGCTCCACCCATGCCAGTAAAGGGAGCATACTGCGGATCCTTAAAGAATTACAGCTGGCCAGGTCCAGGAAAAGAGCCTTCTCTGTTGTGTGTCCTGCCCTTTGGAATATCTTATCATCTGCTCTTCTGCCCTTCTGCAAGCGCCTTAAGACCTGGTTCTGCAAGATGACTGGGGCCCCAACAGGGGAACATCACACTGGAAATGGTTGATTAATTAAGAGCTAATCCCACTTCCCCCCATACATCCATCTCCCTCCTTCTCCAGCTTGTGACAATGATTTTGTTTTGATGGTATTTTGATTTTGATATGGATTGAATGGATTATCTTTGTTGCTAAAATTGATGCAATTCTTCTATTTCTGTAGCTCTGTCATTTTATCCTAGACTTTGATCAACTAGAATAGAATAGAACTGTAAGGGACCTTAGAAGTCTTCTGGTCCAGCCCCCTGCTCAAGCAGGAGAACCTATACCATTTCAGATAAGTGATTGTCTAGCTCAGGGTAGGCAACCTTGGCTCTTTTATGACTCCTAGACTTCAACTCCCATAATTCCTAAGCCAGCATAGCTCAGGAATTATGGGAGTTGAGTCATAAAAGAGCCAAGGTTGCCTACCCCTGGTCTAGCTTCTTCTTAAAAACCTCCAGTGATGGCGCACCCATGATTTCTGAAGGGAAACTGTTCCACTGGTTAATTGTCCTCACTGTTAGGAAGTTTCTCTTAATTCCAGGTTGCTTCTCTCTTTGATTAGTTTCCAACCATTGTTTCTTGTCTTGCTCTCTGGTGCTTGACCCCCCCCTTTCTTTGTGGCAGCCCCTCAAATACTGGAATGCAATACTGCTATCATGTCACCCCTATTTCTTTTTTTCTTTAGACTACTCATACTCAAGTCCTGCAGCCATTCTTCATATGTTTTAGTCTCCAGGCCTTTGATCATCTTAGTTGCTCTTCTAAGAATTTATTTGCTTTAAAATCTTTCTTAATATTGCCCCACTATTCCTACCTCTTCAGAAATCCATCACCACAACTATGCAGTAAAAACAACAGAACACCAGCACTTTTCCCAATAATGAAGACTAATTCAATACATTTAGATTTTTCTGATTTTTTGTTTCAAGCAGTTCTTGTCATTTGAAGATCCAGATTTAAACATCATTCCAGACAATTAAGAACCTCCCCACAAGTTATCATCTGGAGAATATTAAGAGTGTATAGCAGACTTTAGTTAAAATAGACAAATTCAGCAAAAGAGGGATATTCCTGGCTTTTTCTCAAAACTGCCTCTTTTCAACATCTTACTCATAGCCTTGTGGACATCCTTGTTCCGCAGGGTATAGATGATAGGGTTAAGGAGAGGAGTCACCACAATGTACAAGACTGCAATTTTTTTTCTCCCGGTCAGGATATGAACTTGATTGGGGGATTATATATATTGAGATGATGGTACCATAGAACAAGGTGACCACAACAAGGTGGGAGCCACAGGTGGAGATAGCTTTCTGCCAACCCGCAGCTGACTGCATTTGACAAATGGAATACAGGATGCAACTATAGGAACATAAAATAATAGAAAAAGGAACTAGAACAATAAATGCTGACATACCACTGAGAATGGCTTTGGTGTGTTTTATATCACCACATGCCAGCTTCAAGACAAATTGCAATTCACATGTGAAATGATTAATGGAATTACGACCACAGAAAGAATGATGAAAGATGCAAACAGCACTGACCATTGAGAAGATGCAACCTAGGATCCAGCAGGAGCTGGCAAGCAGGTGTTGGTGTTTCTTGTTCATGGCAGAAGCATATTTCAAGGGGTTGCAGATGGCCAAGTAGCGATCATAAGCCATGACTCCCAAGAGCAGGCATTCTGTACTGCCCATGCTCAAAGCACTGCCTCCCTGTAACATGCAACGTATTGAGGAAAGCATTCCATTTCCGGCCAAGAGATGGGCTAAAGTCTGAGGCAAAGTGGTAGTGACATACACAATCTCTGTGCCTGCAAGATGGCTGAGGAAGAAGTACATAGGTGTGTGCAGTTGAGCATCAAAGCATACCAATATGATGATCAAGAGGTTACCCAATACTGTAAGCAAGTAGATTATGAGGAAGACCACAAAGAGCAAAATCTGTTCATTTCTCTGATGGGTAAGTCCCAAGAGGATAAACTCTCTTCCAAAGGTGAAGTTCTCAGATCTCATTTTGGCCACCTCAGGAGAGTGGAAATGTTGATGGGTACTGAGATAAAAGACAAAAATCAGAAACAGAAGAGGAAGAGAGAATTCTGTTTTCAGAGCATTATGTTGTTGTTGTTAATTGCGAAGTCGTGTCCGACCCATGGACAACATTCCTCCAGGTCTTCCTGTCCTCTACCATCTTCTGGAGTCCATTTAAATTCACACCTACTGCTTCATCAGAGCATTATAGTATAGTATAATCTCAGCTCTGACTTCCTTAATGGCATATCAGTAGCCATTACTGATCATACGTTTCTGGAGTCCTTAGTGCTCTCTGAGCTTGGTAGTTTCATTACCAAACATCATGATGTTACCTAGTTTGGTAATGAAACATCTGCAAGAAAACCACCAAGCTTACAGAGCACCAAGTACTCCACAATTCAACTCTGAGGTGCAAATATTCTCTTCTATCAGGATCATAGTTTGTTACCAGGAGGGCCATATGTTTTCAGTAATACCAAATTATAGTAGCAATCTTTCTACCCATTAGACTAGTGCATTGCTTTTGGCAAATAATGCATTAACTATCTTGGGAGAACAACAGTAACAGTAACGCAACAGTCTTACCTATGATTTATCCCAAAGACAAAACATTTTACAAGCTAGAATTTCTACCTAATAGTTGTAGGATATGTATGTAGATACGTTTCATCAAGAAAGAAAAATATAGAATTTGTAAGGAGGAAAGTAAGGAGTGATATGACTGACTAGTGTCTGCCATCTTGAATAATTTTCCATTTTCTTCTTCTGAGATGTTTCATCAACTTCCCAATCCAGTCTATAACTATAGGATCTCTTACTGATTTCCTGTTTGAGTTCTATCTGATCTTTTTTCACTTTTTTCACTTTTGGAGACCAATTACAGTTATATGCCACTTACTCAGTCCTTCATCCATAAACTGATAAAAATAAAGTCCTCAGGAGCCAAATTCAAATTGAAAGACTCTTTACCTTGATTCAAATGCCTAAAGGGAAAGGAGCAGCACACTGGCTTCCGTCTTTGTTATAAGAAGATTTGTAAATTTTTTTGCAGGTGGATTTGATGATGTAGAATTGCTTGACACCCTTGATTCATCTTCTGTAGATCATTATAAGTGTTTGCTCCTTCTTTAAAACTCATGGGAACCTGGGAGACTAATTTAAAATAAATGATGTAAACTTAATTAGTCTGCTTCCCTTAGCAGCTCCAGATTTAGGCCTAAATCTGGAGTTGCTAAAGGAACTTCAGTTTTGCTCATTTCCTTGCAGTTACATAAATCTCCAATGATGGAGCTCCAAGATAAATTCTTGGGGATAGTAGCCATCTTCTTCTTCAATGTTGATGGTGCTAGTGGGGAAATTGTACCTTCATCAGCTTGCCATATGGATTTGGGGTCTTCAAAATCAGTTGTCCAATATTCTAAGATGAAGGTACCCAGAAAGCTGCAAGGACAGTTTGGGTCAAGAGGCTAAATTAATCTGCCCTCAATACCCTTATGTAGCCCTGTAATAGTATTATGGAACTGGATGGGTGATTGTTATGGGAACATATACAATAATTGAAGAGAAGTGAACTAGATAAGATGACCATAATAACTTGATTTATGATTAGATAGAGCCTGAATGGGTTAGGGAAGCTAAGACCAAAGAAATAAAGATTAATCTAATTAACCAGAAGTAAAACCTTCATTTGCTTCCTTCTTTGTTTCCCATTCATATGTAACAAAACTGAGGAAGTGAGGGTAAGACTAAGGGGAAAAAAACCCAAATGTATGAGCTGTCTATAGGTAAAGAGTAAGTGTCATATTTTAAGAAAGAACATGAGACATCTAAATAGGTTGGAGAGATATTTATTTGGAAACCAAGTAATCTGAAGAACAATTATAAACATTGATTCAGTGGATTTGTTAAATGGTGCTTCTGACATGAATGGGTTGGGGAGTGGGTTTCTATTTCTATAGGTTGGTTATTTTGATTTAAATAACAATTCCCTACATTACTGAATGGTATATTCCGAAGGGAGAATTACAATTAGTTTCAACTGAAGGTGAAGAAAGGACCTCATTCAAATGCTGATTGAACTGTTGAAAGAAAAATCTTTATCAGGGTCCAGTCCAAGCTGGGAATAAAAAAAATGGAGACTGCTTTAGAAAGAAGGTTGTAGTTTATTGAAGAGGAGAGCCAGACAGAAAGATGGCTCTGGGAAAGCTGACCACATGTAGCTAGGAGTGGTGGATTTTTATACCTTCTGGGGCTTTTGAGGTTGTTTCCTGTTCCTGTTTGAGGCTTTGTATTTCCTGTGTCATGAACTTTGACCTGAGTCTGAGTGTGCCCTTTTGGTACTGGTGGATTAATCCTATTATGTTTCCTGTCCTTAGAATTTGAGTGGGGGTATGTAGATTTTAGGGGTCTTTGTCTTCCCAATTTCTTCAATTTCTAGCTGGAAGGCTCAAATCTTTCTGAAAAGATTATTGAATTTGCATTTCTAAAAGCTTGCCTCTGCTGAGTTTTTTGCTTGGGGGAGAGGGGCTGGGGCTCAGTTTCTGTCTTTTTTAAAGGTCTTTTCCATTATTCCTTTGGGGAAATATATTCTGCTTTTTAAATATTCCCCAAAATAGGAACTGAGAAATAATAAGACATAAGTCAAAATTAAGAAAAACAGTGATCAAGCCATCATTTTCTCAAGAACAGCACTTCCCCTTATAAATAACTTACATAAATCTTGAGTAATTCCCTCATGATGTTTATTTCAGATTTTAATTTGGAGGACATTCGTATACACTTCTTAGCCACCTTAAAAGTAAATAAATGCCAGGGCATCATACTCTACTGACAAGACTATTCTATAACATTTGACTAATTTAAAACAATTTTTAAAACAAATATTCTCTCATAAAAGTGAATAAGAACGGGGTGGTGGTGGTGGAGGAGGAGGAAATGGAACAATATCACTTTACCAACCTTAATACATAACATTGTCAGCCTCTTTGTTCATTTTCCCAAAAATGCTGAAGGTGGACCTTTCAGATAGTTTCTCCATAATGAATATAAAGCTAAAAAATGGTTGCATTACCTCCGAATTTGCTGAGGGGATATCAGAATTGTGCAAACCTTTGTCCTCTCTTGTCTTCCCAAAACACAATGATCTATGAGCTGTGGTGGCGCAGTGGTTAGAATGCAGTACTGCAGGCTAATTTTTGCTGACTGCCAACTGCCAGCAGTTCAACTGGTCAATTCTCACTAGCTCAAGGTTGATTCAGCCTTTCATCCTTCCGAGGTCGGTAAAATGAGGACTCAGATTGTTGGGGGGCAATATGCTGATTCTGTAAATTGCTTAGAGAGGGCTGTAAAACACTGTGAAGTGGTATATAAATCTAAGTACTAATACTATTGCTATCAATTCAGTATGCAACAAGGTAACCTCTAAACCAAGGATATACTATGAAGATCCCAGTGCTTGCCTTTTCTAGTGTTTTGTATTTAGCATCTTAGCCAATGCCCCATGAACATCCTTGTTTCTCAGAGTATAGATAACAGGATTGAGCAGAGGTGTGACTACAATATAAAAGACAGCAATTTTCTTGTCACTGTCTGGAGTTGTGCTTGAACGAGGTCTCATATACATAGATATGACGGTGCCATAGAACAGGGTGACCACCGCCAAATGGGAAGCACAGGTGGAAAAGGCTTTGCTTCGGCCAGCAGCTGATTGCATATGTAATACAGTTGATAGAATGAGCCCATAGGAAGTCAGGATAACTGAAAGAGGAATCAACAGGATTAGAACTGCTGCTCCAAAAATTATGTTCTCAGTAGCATAGGTATCAGCACATGTAAGTTTCAACACTACTGGCAGCTCACAGAAGAAATGGTTGATGTGGTTGGGGCCACAGAATGGGAGGCGTAGGGTACATCCTACATTCATCATAGAGAGCAGAAAGCCACCAGCCCATGAAGCTGTGGTGAGCTGCAATTGGCGCCACTTGTCCATGGCAACAGCATAAATGAAAGGATGACAGATGGCCAAGTAGCGATCGTAGGCCATGACCCCCAAGAGAAGTCCTTCAGTGCTACCTAAAGACAATGCAATGTACATCTGAGTTGCACAACGTATGAAGGAAATGGTTCCATTTCCAGAGAAGAGGTGGGCCAACATCTGGGGCACAGTGCTGGAGACATAACAGATCTCCAGACTTGAGAGGTGAGTCAAGAAGAAGTACATAGGAGTGTGAAGCCTGGAGTCAGCCTGCACCAGTATGATGATCACAAAGTTTCCCACAAGAGTAAATAGATAAAAAATGAGAATGACAACAAAAAGCAAAATCTGGGTCTTACGGTCATTAGTGAGTCCTACTAAGACAAATTTTGAGACCATGGTGAAGTTTTCAGCCTCCATCATCAGCTTCTGCCTGGACAAAAAAATCTATTAGTTAGTGAGATTTTCTCATATTATATCACTTTAATCTTCCTTTCTCAGTACTCTTAACATTTCTTGGATGATAGCTCTCACATCCCACAAGACTGTTTGGAGGAATCAAAGCCTATCAAAAATGAACCTCCATTAAAATTAATTAATAATGGGCTAGGAACACTTTATAGTCAGAAATACAGTAAGGTATAAGAATTCCTGGCTTTGCCAGAGAATTAGATTGAATGGAAGAAAATAGTTATGAGCAAAGGATTAGACAGATAGAATGGAATCACTTTTTTAGATGACTGATTTGTGTGCTCCTTTTCTTTCTTTCTTTCTTTCTTTCTTTCTTTCTTTCTTTCTTTCTTTCTTTCTTTCTTTCTTTCTTTCTTTCTTTCTTTCTTTCTTTCCTGCATGAAAATATCCTGAAACCTCTGAACAAAATATATGCCTGTTGATCAATATCTTAGAGCAAACTAAGCATTATCTGGACAAGTGGCACTCTTTTTAAAAAATTAGAAAGAAATTGGTTAGATTAAGTACAATGTGATGCTTTCCAGATGCATTCTATTATAACTTTTATAATCTCCAGTCAAAAGGAACAATATAGAAGTAGAACTCCAATACATCTAATTGATGCTACTTACAGAAAACTGGTCTTTCACTTGCAATTGAGAACAGAGAAATTCAAAAGTTATTTAAATGTAGGTTTATTTCAAGGTAGACTGTAAATTAAAACAGTTTTGAAAGAGGGAAGAAGGAGAAGGAGAAGGAGAAAGAGGAGGAGGAGGAGGAGGAGAAGAAGAAGAAGAAGAAGGAGAAGGAGAAGGAGAAGGAGAAGGAGGAGAAGAAGAAGGAGAAGGAGAAGGAGGAGAAGGAGAAGTTAAAAGGGAATCTCTTTCCAAAGGAGACCCTTAATTGAAATCTGAATACCTTTGATATAGTAACAATTTTGATCTCAGTGAGAACCGAGGCAGATCTTCTATAATATTGCCAGCCAAAATATATCTGCAAATAAGTGGTGAGCCTTCCTTCTGCTGTAAGTTTGGCAGTTAGAAGGATAAAGCAATCTCTCATTTAGTTCTGTTTTTACAGCCTAGGGAAAGCAAATATTTCCTTACATCAATAATAGCTCTCCAGAAAATCTTCCACTATATCCCATTCCTGAACTGGAGACTCTATCAATCTTAACCATGCAAAAGATGTCCAGTGTCAATACATTTAGTTTGCAAAATTACTTGGATATAATTTCTACCAGAGTGTTCAAACACTACATTATCTGGAAGATAGCCCAATCAAACCTGCATCATTAAACTGCTTGTTCATTCTCAGTCAATACTTGAAGGTGAAAAATGTGCTATCTTTCTTTCTTTAAGTTATTATCTGGCTGAAGCTTCAAATATAATAAAGACTCTGAATCTATTCTACAGGGACTTTTTTAATTCTTTTTTCAATTATTCAGAATATTAACTCACTCTATGGGGATTTTCTTTAGCTAAGAACACAAAAGAAGATGCTAGAAAGCCAATTAGCTTTATTTTTGTTGCATGACAATTGTGTTAACTTTAAAGCAAAGATGAGGATGACAATGATAAAACATAAAAATAGTTGCATTAAAATTGATAGCAATACTGAAAGAATTTCCATCCTTTTGTTTTAGTATAGATGGAAGAAGACCAGTTGTCACTTCTTATCTAGGGAGATTAATGGACAGAGTTGAGTAGAACAGGGAGATTAATGGATAAAATTGAGTAAAACTTTATTCCATTTGTATGACCACACAGAAGCATTTTCTCCATGATGATCTGTTCCTGACCTGGTCCTATCTCTTTTAATGACAATTCCACTGCCACTTTGTTCTTGTATAAATCTACTGATTAAATAACTATGTCCTTGACCCACTTCCTTTTAATTTTCTTATAGACCAAGAGAAGTCTCACAGTGTTCATATGGGTAGACTTATATTCAAATAGGACAGAGACTGATGATAATAACAAGATATTGGGGAGGGTCATATTGACCTATACAAATGTATATACTAAAATAGTATTTACCTCAGAATTCTACATAGGGATAAATTCTGCACAAAGAAATTAAGGGATATAAGTTGACTTCAGGACTCCAAACAAGACAAAGCAAGGTCAGGGCATTTTAGAGCATCCCAGGAAATTCTGTTGTGGGTCTCAAAGTCTCTCATTTAGAAAAAACAACAACTTTAACAGAACAACAAAGTAAAATTTGCATCTGTATAACCAGTTTGTTTTCCCCTTTCCTCCACATCATCCTATCTGATCTAAAAATCAGATGATGACTCTGACTGTAGAGAACAGATGTGCCAAACTGGTGGCCCTCAGGCTGGATGCATCATGTGCAGGCCACACACACCCCAGCTCCGCAAAGGCAAAAAATGTTATGATAGGTCACATGATGTGATCAAATTTGACACCCATGGTATAGAAGCCGCTTCAACAGGACTTGTGGAATGTCGGCCTCAGGAAACACAAAACCAAGAATCACAGTTACAGCTGGCTGCAGTTTGATTTAAAAGGAAGCCTGAATCATGATCCCTTGTTGAAAGCAGCTGTCTGGTTTCTGGATCTTGTGTCATGTTTGGACTCTTCTTGTGGTATTCTGCTCTCTAGCCTGGATGATAATCCTGACTTGACTCTCAGAACCTTGGACTGGATTTTGGACTATTATTCGGTGTATTCTTATTAAAACCAAACATTTAGCTAAGCTCTTTTCAGAGGCTCTGGTTTGCTTTGTGTTCCTTGTCTGCTGTTATCATCATATCCTTGAGGAAATCACTAATTACCATAGCAACTATGTGTGTACATGTGGGCATTTGAAACTAGAAGCAGAACAATCCTTATTTAAATCCCACCCCAAGTTTAAACACTCCATTCCTCTGATGAGGTTTCTGCAGTTCACAGATACTGTTTGTTTATTTGTTTAGGATATTGGTAGTCCATTCAGCACACAGAAGATCTTGATATTTGTTTGCTTGTTTGTTTAAGATATTTACAGTCCACTCTCCACACAGAAGATACTAATGCATAAATTCATGAAAAAGCAAAATGAAACATGAACATCAGATAAAATAAGTAATGCATTAAAACACAACATAATCCATGTAATAACTTTGACAGAAAATACATCTGCAGAACATCCAGTTAGAGAAGTTTGCACTAGAAAATTTTTCTGGATTTTTTTTTGAGTCTTAGCCTTTGCCAAAGTCTTTGTTGAATAACTGGAAGGTTCTGGCATCTGATTGCTTTAGTTTCATTGTAGCTTTCTAGGATACTTTAATTTTAGAATGGAGTTGGAAAGCCACCATTTCTCATGAAAAGGGAACTACCATATTTTCCGGCGTATAAGACGACTTTCTAGGTCACAAAAACCTTCTTAAAAGTTGGGGGTCATCTTATATGCCGAGTCGTCTTATACGCCGGAAAATACGGGTATTCTATTTTATTCCTTTACATATGTGGTTTGGTATAGTACTCATCAAGTTTTCTCTCCCCCCCTCACTCAAAAAGAGTCCTTGATTGGTAGAGTGGCAGTGGGGAGAGCAATTAAACTCTAAGCTGTTTGTTTCAGCTATCCGTCCCCGCGGCTCACCTCTAGCAGGCTTGTGGTTTGCAGCTGCTTTTTGCTAACTTGAAGTCACAGGCTGGTAAATGCCTGTGGGTCTCAATCTGTCTCCTCGCTGCTTCGCACTTTCCAAGCTGGAGATCAGGGTGGGAGGGAAGGATTGGAGGGAGAGGGAGGAGGGAAAGGAGGCGTGTGTGTGTTGTGTGTGTGTGCGCACGCTTCTCCTCGCTGCTTTCTGAGCTGGGAAGGATTGGAGGGAGAGGGAAGAGGGAAAGGAGGCCACGCGCATGCACACACACGCTTTGCATTTTCCGAGCTGGAAATCGGGGTGGGAAGGAAGGATTGGAGGGAGAAAGGAGGCGTGTGTGCATGCGTGTGTGTGTGTGTGTGTGTGCGCGCACACTTCTCCTCGCTGCTTTCTGAGCTGGGAAGGATTGGAGGGAGAGGGAAGAGGGAAAGGAGGCCACGCGCATGCACACACACGCTTTGCATTTTCTGAGCTGGAAATCAGGGTGGGAGGGAAGGATTGGAGGGAGAGGGAGGAGGGAAAGGAGGCATGTGTGTGTGTGCGCACGTGTATATGTCAGAAAGACGGGCGGGGCCCGAGAGAGTTGCAGTAAATACTAGCCTGAAACTGGCTAGAATTCATGGGATGGAAGACCAAGCGGAGGAGATCCAGTCTCCGGAGATCCCGGTGCGCAGCCCGGGGGAGTCGCATGCATGCCACGCGCACGCACACACACGCTCAGCACTGGCATAAAAGGGCGCCTGCAGAGGAGAGAATACTGTACTCATTTGGGCTTACAGGTGGCCAATGAGAACTCAGAAAACTTCACTCCCTTTCCTCCCTCCCTCTCCCCTTCTTCAGCGAAAGGGTGTATTAGCTTGTCCATTTTTTCCCTAGGGCATATAAGACGACAGGGAGGGCTGGGCAGGCAGGGAGAGCTGACCCACCCAATCCAACCAGGCTTTGTATACAACAACAAGCCAATCACCGGTAAGGTACATCGCTTGCCAGTGATAAGGTATATCGCTTGCCATGATTGGCTGGTTGTTGTATACTGGGTACGTACCGGTACAATACAGCACCAGTATCTGTACCAGTTCATACAGTAGAGCATCAGTACATACAGTACTGTATACAAATGTCCAACAGTCAAGATGCCATCATGGCTCCACCAGCAAGAAGAAGGAAATATGAAGCCAGTTTCAAACTTAAAGTTGTAAACTTTGCCATGGAACATAATAACTGCGCTGCTGCAAGACAATATGGAGTAACAGAAAAGATGGTTCGGGACTGGAAAGCAAATGAAAAAGCGTTAGAGAGTATGGCACCCTTGCCAATGTGGGTGCCTCTTCTTAATGCACACTTACCCCTGTAAGTGTGCATTAAGAAGAGGCACCCACATTGGCCAGAACTTGAAAAACATGTAGCAGACATGGTGAATGACCATCGCCAAAATGGTTATGTAGTGACACAAAATAAAATATGTTTGTCTGCACTTCAGTGGGCCAAATCTAACCCAGATCACAGCAACAGATTTAAGGCCACAGTATCTTGGTGTACTAGATTCTTGAAAAGGCATAATATGGTACTGAGGCAAAAGACAAAAATGGCACACAAATTACCTGCAGATCTTGATAGCAAAGTAATTAGTTTCCATCGATACGTAATACAACAGCGCATTAAACATGGCTATGCGTTAAGTAGTATTGGAAATATGGATGAAACTCCAATGAATTTTGATATGGTTGGAAATAAAACTGTCCATCAAAAAGGTGAAAAAACAATTTTAATTAAAACAACAGGACATGAGAAGTCCAGTTTTACAGTGGTACTAGGATGCACAGCTGATGGTGCCAAACTGAGACCAATGATTATTTTTAAAAGAAAAACAATGCCGAAACTCAAGTTCCCTGTTGGTTGTTTTGTACATGTGAATGAAAAAGGCTGGATGGATGAAGAAGGGGTAAAGCTATGGCTTGATAATGTATGGAGCAGGCGACCAGGTGGACTTCTTCAAAAACGTAGTCTACTGGTGTGGGATATGTTCAGGGCTCATTTAACTCCCAGCACCAAGCAAAGGCTTGCAAGAATAAACACAGATGCGGCAGTTATTCCTGCAGGATTGACATCGTTGGTACAGCCACTGGATGTGTGCCTAAACAAGCCATTTAAAGATCGCATTCGAGAACAGTGGAATGAATGGATGGTTAGCGGCGAAAAGTCATTCACAAAAGGAGGAAACATGCGTGCTCCACAGTTGGATGTTTTGTGCAAGTTTGTCATAAAAGCCTGGAATGATATTGATGCAGAAACAGTAATCAAGTCTTTCAAGAAGTGTGGCATATCAAATTCATTAGATGGTATGGAGGATGACTACTTGTGGCAAGATGAAGAGGAAGCTGAAGCTGAGACCACACCATCTGATACGGAATTCGATCCATATGATGACTGCCTTACAAATGTACCACAAGATGTCATTGATATTTTTATGATATCAGATGATGAACAGGATGATTTTGAAGGCTTTTAAAGGGAAACTGTCACGCAAGCAAAACCTGTAAAAATAGCTTGCAGTTATGATGGGCGTTGCTGACTCGCCAGGGACTTGCCCGGCACTTGCTCTTTCTATTGTTTTTTATCTTCCTCCTATCATCATCAGTTCAGTTTGGTTAGAAAACAAACAGCATGGCAGCTCCCATGGTTTTATTGTCTTATCCTTCCTTTCAGCTTTAGAGTGAATTAGGAAAAGTTTAATCCACTTGCACTGTTTTATGTTTATATGTTTGATGACAGCCT